TAACACTGCACATTTTAATCTACCCAGTAAGAACCCTAGAGACACCATAATGCACAAGAGGGCAATGGGAGGATGCCATGTCCTCTATTTGTGAGGTTCTAAAAACTGCTACATTTAAATCAGGGATAACTTCTCTTAAAACAAAAACCAAGCAGATGTGACTTTTCAAAAAAGAGAGCCTGGATAGCAATTTGTCTTCCCTTGCCAGAGGTGTGCATGTTTCTTTTTCACTACAACCACTTCAGTTCTTAGGAGGAAATCATCTCCCTATGTAGACCTCTACAAGACTTACTACATATAATGATTCAAGACTAGCCACATTCCTGAAGCATCATGTTATAATGACTTCCAGAAAAACCATCAAATTTGAGTGTTATACAGAAATTACTTCCTCACAGTCTTTCAACATGGTTGATCAGAGCTGCAGAAGAAAGAAAATTGCAGCTAAATCCTCTTTCCCCAAAAGGAATGATGAGTAGACATTAAAACCAATATAAGAACTTTCCTAGCATTTCCTTCGGTTGGTAAATATTATTGGAAGGATCACACTGTCTCCCTTACATACTTATTTTTTTTATGGCAAATTCTTCATTCCTGAAGATTCTCTCACATCCAGAGAATTCCTGTCTTTCCTTAAAGAGAGCTTCAAGATTATTTTAAGTCATTTACAGAGTAAAAAACACCTTTTAAATTTTTCCCTAAACAAGTGGAAATGTGAATAATAAATATTGATTTGCTTCCTATTTTTTGAGGACCAAAATGTAATTCACATCATATCAAGAAACAGGGGCCATATACAACTAATATCCATCTCAGCTCACAAGACTGAAAACTTGCTTGGTCCACAAGGCTGTTAAATCAGTCAGGTGGGTCACATTTCTTACACAATGTGTTTCATAATCTGAGTATATTGCAGAACACAAAATTGTTCAGTTCTGTTCATCTCTAACTTTCCTACACAGAGTACTGTTATTATTTGCTATACACAAATGTCTTTGCCTTGTTTATCTGTAACTTGGAAAAAAACACCTTTTTTTTTTTTCTCACATAGGTGTTAATATTTATGTGCATTTGCCCTATACCTTTTAGCAAATTTTGTTTTCATCACAGACATTGGAAGATCAAAGGGTCTATCACAGAACAGATAAAACATGCAAGAAACATGTTTAGGCACCAATTCTATATGGATAACATCGATCAAACACTGCATGATTGAATTATCCCTGCTGTTCTGCCAGAGGACATCTGTAGTTTTTACTCAGGTTCTTCTATTTTGTTGTTTCTTTGAAGTAAAGGAAGAAAAGAGATTAATGCTACTGTGTTTTATTGCCTCTAATTCTATTCTAGAGATTTTGCTAGAAGTTTCCAAAAGAAGTTATTTCTTGTTCAGACACACTGTCTCTCCAAAATTTAATTTTTGATGCCTTCCTTGCTTAATTTTTTCCTTGTAGGCATGAAAAAGATGAGATGTATCGGTTCAATGGTTAGTTAGCAAACCAGTGACACAGAGAGCTGAACAACATAATTATAGAAGAAACCCAAGCACGTCTTTAAATAGGCTTTCCTGTAATTGCACAAGATGACTTCAAATGAACATGGTAATTCTGTGCAGCTGTGCTCTACAGGGCACAATGGCACCTGCAATGTTCTCAAGATGGCACAAGGCACCGATACACCAGTGCTGGGTCCTGAATAGCATCTGAAGAGACAAGGAATGATGCCCCCGTGTCTGACACACCATTGAGATCATACATAAGTGCTCTCAAATGCAGAAATAACAGAACTGTAGGAGTCCCTCAGTGAGAAAAAAATGTCATATGACCAATAACAATATCTCTGAATTGGTTATTTAGAGAGAAATACACTTTCAGAGACTTGAAAAGCACATCACACCAAAACATTTAAGAGTTAAGCATTTAAACATTTTGAAAAGTTTATAACAAGTGCCAATAGATTTTAAAACAATTTTCAATTTCTACAATATACATAAAACGCTAGCACCATTTCAGATATATGTCTTATATCAAGAAATCTGTGTACAATGCCAAGACTCCA